TCTCAGAGCAGTGGGGTGAGGGTGGCCAAATGCTGTCTGGGTCCTGGCTGTGGGTCTCTTTGGTTGTCTGAGAAGGAAGGATGAAAACGTCCTGCAGGGTCCCCAGTGCTTGTCAGCACGAGAGAGGGTTCCTGGGCAGCTATATACCTCGTAACAGGCCTTCTTCATTCCGCACTTTGTCCAGGTTGCCTTTTTCCTCTACAATGGGGTGTCCCTGGGCCAATTTGTGCTGCAGGTGACCCATCCGCGTTACCTGAAGAACTCTCTGGTTTATCACCCCCAGCTCCGGGCACAGGCTTGGCGCTACCTGACGTACATCTTCATGCATGCTGGGTAAGTACCTGTGTTCTTTTTTGGGTGCCAGAGATTGAAGCCAAGGCCTTACCCAAACTTGGCAAGCGCTCTACCACTGAGCTACAGCCCTAGGCCCCAAAATATCTTTGTTGTCCCAGAATTTGAAATGTGGGCTTGAAGTTCATCTAATACCAAACTATACAAGTTTGGTTGAGAGTGTACGGGAAAGAGGAAGATTCTGGAAGCTGGCAGTAAAATCAGCATACACAGACACGTGTTTCTGTGTAGTTCCTAGAGGTAGGTTGACCATTTGGTCTGCACTTCCTGGTAGCTAAAGCAAAGAGGAACACGTGACCAGCCACCAGTTTCACTGAGTCCCTGGAAGAGCACTGTTGGCCGAAGCTTACTTTCACGTGATAGAGTAATTGGTGCATTGGGAACAGAGACCCTGGACCTCTGTAGTGTCTTCTATACTGCCCACCCCTGGAGCGAAGTCACTCACTGCCTTCTGGGGAAAGGCCTGGGAAAAGCCCCTGGTAATGCTTGCTCTGGAGTGGACATGGGAAGGGAAGCACTGTCTCCCAGAGCCCCATCATTTGTCATTCCCGTTGCTCAGCTGAAAGATCAGTGGCCCAGAGACAGGCCCACTCTGAGCTGCTCCCTATTCCTGCTGAGCCTCCATAGCAGGCAGAGGAGCCCCTTTGTGAGAGAGGGTGCTCCAGGGTGAGGAGATGGTTGTTTATACACATCCTTGCTCTGGGCCGCAGGGGCCCATTGGGATAGGCTGTCTGCGTCTCCTGGGGTGCCCCAAGCTGTGATTGCACAAGGCTGGGCACCAGAGTAAGAGGACTGTCACACTTTAGTCTTCTTCTGAGTCGAGATTTGGAAACAGGGCCTGCTAAATAGCTCAGCGGATTAAAACCCTGCAAGCAGTCGCAGGGGCCTGGGGTTCTATCCCTGGGCCTGCCGTGCTGCCCACCCCCTGGAGCGCACTGAGATGACGAATGAGACTGGGTGTGGTGGCGCACACCTGTAATCCCAGCTCTTGGGAGGCTGTAAACAGGCGGATCACTACAAATCTGATCTAGTAGTGAGACCCTGAACACTCTGTAGACCCTTCCCTGAAATACGGATTTGGAAACAACAGAAATGGCCTTCCCTGCCCAGGCTGCCCAAGCCTGTGGGAGTTCATGGCTTAGCACTGCAGCCTTCATTTCTGGTATTGCCCTATGTCCCTCTCTGGCCCCACACCGTGAGGAGGAGAATAGCTGAAGCCTCCGAAACTGCCTGGCCCCATTCTCTGCTTCCTTAGCAACAGCCATGTGTCTGTAGTCAATAGAGCACAAGTGTCCTGAGCCAAGGGTGCCAGTGTGGCCTTGGGCCTTTCTCCTGTGACTGCTTCTGGTGGAGCCTTATCTGCTGAGGAAAATCTGGGAGGATTCTCCAAGGCTAATTTTGCTTTGTTTTGTTTTTCAACGTGTGTGGTGCTGAGGATGGAACCCAGGGCTTTCACACAGAGTTTACAGGCCCCAGCCCTTCATTTCTTATTTTGAGACTGGTTTTGGCTAAATTAGCCAGGCTGGGTTCAAACTTGCAATCCTCCTGCCTCAGCCACCCAGAGTGCTAGCATTACAGGGGTATGCTACAACTCCCACCTGTGGAACTCTGGGTTCTGAGGGAAGGGCTCCTGGTTGGTGCACGGGCAGGGAGCACATGGAGACAGCTGCCAGCATCTCCTGGCCTCTTCTTGTTTCAAAGGCATAGGCTGTGAAATGAAGGCCGGGGCCCAGACATCCTCCAAGTCCCTGTGCCTGTGAGTCTGGCACTGTTTCCCAGCCCCTTTCCAAAGAACTTTCGTGGCACACTTCATCTCCACGAAGTCCTTTTCCTAGCACAGTCAGCAGAGAGTAGAAGACTCCAGCATGGTGGACATTGAAGAGCTGCCTCAAATGCCCTCTGGAGTAGGCAGGTACCCAGCCGGGCTCCAAGAAGCACCCCACAGACCAGGAGCAGGGCTGTGACACAGGCCAGGACCAGCCCCTTTGTTACTCCATAACTGAAACCACCCCCAGAGTGTTGTCCATGTGCCTTCTCTATTTAAATGAGATAGATAATGGATATCAAAGTGCACTATAAATTTGAAAGCCTCACATTGATTGAATACTAGTAACATTATGATCTTTCCTGGTAATATGTGGACTTGGCGAGACATCCACACACACTTAGCAGCAAAATCTGGCCCCGCATGAGGAGCACTGTCCAAAGGAAAGCATTTACGGGATGGAAAGCCTGGACCCTTCTCCCAACCCTAAGAGTTTTGGAGAAGACCAAGTCTTTTCCCATACCAGAAAGGAGAGGCTTCCCTATGAGATCTCTCTCTCTGTCTTTTTTTGACTTTTTGTTTTTATTTTGAAACAGGGTCTCACTCTGTAGCCCAGGCTGGCCTCAAACTCATAGTGATCCTCCTGCCTCACGCCCCTGAGTGCTGGGATTACAGGCACAAGCCACCACATCCTGTGTCCCCCTGAGACCTTAAGGGAAGACTAAATTACTAAATTATAAGTAATCTCATTAATGTCTGCACTTATTCCAAGAATGTCTTTCTCTTTCACTCTCAGTAGCTCTTACAAATACAATAGAGAGCCAGCCAGATTGACCCCAGGACTTAGTGGATGGGCCAGGCAGATCAGAGACCCAGACTATGGTCCTTTGGTGTCTCATCCCTAGGTTTTTTTTTCCATCCACAGATCTTAACCATGGTTGGTTAGTTCCTCTCACAGTGTCAGTTACAGGCACTGCCAGTCACCACCCAGGTGCTGTACCTGTGTTCCTGCCCCAGCTGGAAGGGATGCACTTCCAAGGTCTGCATTATCGTTTTTCTCTCATAGGCAGAGGCCAAGGCCTGTTCATTGCTGAGTTCCCAGCACCTTGACACATCATATTTGTTGAATGAATGAATGAATGAATGAATGAATGAATGAATGAATGAATGTGATCTGTCACAGGATAGAACACCTGGGACTCAACGTGGTGCTGCAGCTGCTGGTGGGGGTGCCCCTGGAGATGGTGCATGGAGCCACCCGCATTGGGCTTGTCTATGTGGCTGGTGTTGTGGCAGGTATGTAGGTGGGCCCCGTGTCCAAGGAAAGCCTCCCAGGGCGGGCTGAGGAAGGCTACATAGTCAGGAGCCTTGGGATGAGGAGGCTATGGGAGCACACACAGAGCATCCTCATCCCGAGGCTCCTGACTATGTAGCCTTCCTCCAGGTAAACCTTTCTCCTCTGGGGATGCTGGGAAGAGATGGCCACCCAGAGAGGGGCGTGTCTGGTGGTCAGGTGAGGAGACAGAGGATGTGGAACAGGTAGACTGACTGAGTTTGGGTCACCACAATGCTGTGTGGTAGCTGTGTGATCCTGAGGGAATCACTGATTCTCTCTTGATCCTATAGAGCTTGAAAAGGGAACTGATGAGACCTGCCTGGAGGGTTGTTAGGAAGTGGGAGGAAAGCCACCAATGGACTCACAGGTCACCGTGGGGGCAGCAGAGGGCTGGAGCAGCAGAGGTGTGGGCCACCTTCTGGGTCAGGGCAGTGTGTGAACCCGAAAGAAGATCTCGACCTTCCTGGGAAGAGCTGCTGTCCCCTGACTGGCCCACTGCAGACAGGACTGTCTGACCTCGGAGGTCATGGCCTCTCACTACATCTGGAGGTGCTGGGGTCTGCTGCCTGTCTGGGCACCCATAGGGTGGGGAGTGACCTGGGGTGTTCAGTCTCACGAACTTGGCTTCTGAACACAGAGATCCCTTGTGAGGCTTCCAACTTTATGGCTGGCTTCTTAAACGAGGTTTGCTGCCTCAGCTCTTCAGCGGACAGCTGTGCCCGAGGGAGCTCCTTGTGTATGTTTAAGTAAGATCTTAATCCTTTCTGAGTGGCATTAAGGTTGTCATCAGCAGAGTGGGGCAGCTTCAGCCTTGTAAATGAGCAGGCAGGGACCCTTGAAGGTGACTGCAATGGTTTCAGCAGTGGAAGAAGAAGGGTCCCACCCTGTGACCCCAGAGACCGAGAGGTTCTCCCAGCTTTGGCCACCTTGCTCCTCTGTGTGGCCAGAACCTTGGACCTTCAACAGTGCCCAAAGTCCTTTCCCAGAATCCAGTGTCTACCTTGACCTTCACAAAGGTCTAACGAGGATCTCCGTGTATGAGACTTCCACAGCCACCCTCACCATCCCTAAACCTGCCATGTGGTGGGGGAGGATCTATAGTTGCAGTTTCCGTACCTAAATACCCAGTCCCAGATGTTCAATGGCGAGGAACAGGGAAGACGCTCGTAACACTCTCAGTTAGTAGTCAATTAGATGGGAGTGCCAGGAACCTGGAAGACAGAAATACCATTCACACTGACTCAGACCTCAGCCAAAACAGATGACACACAGTGGGGAAACGGTGCAGGCACTGCTTCCTGGTGCAGAGTGGGAAAATACATAGACCAAAGCAGGGCTGTCAGCTGTGTGAGGGCGGGCGCTGTGACACTGAGCCAAGGGTGTGGCCTGTTCTGCCTGAGCCATCACTTCCAACCAGAGGGCACTCTGGTCACCTCATATCAGGTCATTGATCCGCAGGATTAAGGTGATTGATCTTTCTAACTGCCTCACTCCTCCCCTCTGCATCCCTCTTAAAAGAGGGAAGCCCATATACAGACAGCCAGAACCTGACCAGATGGCCATGGGTTATCCGTGCCTATCATGTTTGGCCATATTTAATGCTCACAGCTTCCCTGTGAGGTGGACACTACTACTTTCTACCTGCTACAGATGTAGAGAATGAGACTTAGTGCCGGGGGTGGGGTGGGAGCGGCGTTCACACCTGTAATCCTAGCACTTGGGAGGCTGAGGCAAGAGGATTGCCATGAGTTCGAGGCCAGCCTAAAGAGCAAGACCCTGTCTCAAAAAATAAATGAATACACGAATAAATAATGTTATGTTGCTTAAAGGCAGATGGTTCTGACAGTTTTTATTTGGATTTTTTTTTTCTTTTGTTTATCCCTGATGGCCAAGGGAGATGCTGGAGAATATCTGCCTTAAAATTTGCCAGTATAAAATTATTACAAGTGATTTATGATGAAGTCACTGGTTTATGTGCCTGTTGCAATGTTTTCTGGGGAACATGTAGCCCCAGCAAAAGCCAGTTGGTCACTGTGTGGAGGTGCGGCGTGTCACTGGGGTTTGCCGCTCTCTCCCAGTGCACCGTCCCCACAGTGCCCACTGAGTCCCCGCTGGCCTTCTGAACATGTCATCTGCGAATTTTGAGGCAGTTTGAGGAGGAATCCTGCCTGGCCATGGTCCTGCCCCAAGCTAGCCTTTTAAGTACTGTATTTACCCCCCACACACACACATACTCCTGTGTTTCTGTGTTTGGTCCCAACCAACCCGCCAGCCCGCCAGTTCCCCGATGACCTACATACAGGAAACTGAGGGAAGTCTGGGCAGGGGGCTCGTGGTTACCTTCAAGCTTTAACACAGGGTCTGAGCTTTGCCTGGGATCACCAAGGTCCAGCTCTGAAGGAGCACATTGGCCCCTCCCAGTGGGCGAGCAGCTTTGCTTCCAGGGCCGCCTCCCTGTGTTCTGCTCCTGGGGGGTAGAGAGCTCTGGCAAGACTTCCTTTAAAAGGGGATTCACGGCTCAAAATTTGAAAAGCCTTAGCTGGCCTCATTTCATAGATAGGAAAACTGAAACCTGAGGAATTCAGGGACTTGGCTGAAGGACATACAACTAGCCGCCCCCCCCCCCTCCATGTTCCTGCCACAACCTCAACCAGCCCCTGACCCTGGGGTCAGGACTCTAGACCCTGGGAGGGTGAGGGATAGGTCAGTGCAGGGCGGGCTTGACCCTGGCAGGGGCCTTTCCCTGCCTGAGGCTTCCCTGTGCCTCTCTGCCCCGGTGAATCCTACTAGGATGGGAGAGGAACAGTTTTGCTGGCTCCTAGGAGGCAAGAGGCCAGGCTAAGGAGGCTGGGGCTTCTGCCCAAGCAGTAATTAATGAGGAGCGACTGCCTGCCTGCAGCCCGGCAGTGCAGCCTTCACAGACAGCGCTGAGAGAGCGTGGGAATCCTTTGTCATGCAGATCCTGCTGCCTGTTTGTTTGCCACCCTGGGATTTTTTTTTTTTTTTCCCCTCTCCGTTATATATGGATGACCCCATGGTTAGGCCATCAAAAAGGAAAAGAAAAAGAAAAGAGAGAGCGAGAAAAAAAAAGAGAGTTATCTGACAATAGATCAATACCTAATTAAAACCAGAAGGAAGACATGAAAGGGGAAGAAAGATTTATAGTTGCCCTGGGTGGGGAGAAATACTTGAGAGTCCTCAGCTCAGGACAGTTTGGGGTTATTTGGGGAAAGATTACATCTCCCATGAAACCAAGAACTGGTCATGGGGAGCTTTTCTTCAAGGAGCTAGAAAGGTAGGTGCCTTGGGAGCTTCGCCAGGGACAGGCTGATGCCCTGTGATGCTGTGGGAAAGGAGCCCAGGTCCCCATCTAGATGGCCAGTGCTCTGCTTCTCCCAAGTGTAAGCCTCTAGTGCCCCACTCCCTCTGCACGCTGCAAGCTTGGCCCTCCTGCTCTCCCAGTGCTAATTGGCTCAGGAGCCTGGGGCATTTTCCAGTGGTGGCCTCCGCCTGCTCACCCAGCCCAGCCACCCCACTCATCTTCTGCTTATCCTCTGCGCCCTGGGCTCTACTTCCTAGTTATTTTTAGTCTCCTGTGTCCTTCCCTAGAAACCAAAGCATTGATCACACTCAGATGAGACCAGAACAATACATTTTCCACCTCCTCTCTGCCCACCTTCCCTCCCAGGACAAAAGTTTATCATCTCCCAGACCAAGAGCGTAGGCCACCCTTCCCCCCAGACGGTGTGACATCATCTCTCTCTGTGGGGACATTTTTCCTGGGAGATTCTGTTGGCCTTTTGTGATTTATCTCAGCCTGAGGAGGCTCAGAGTGATGCTGAACAGATTTCTAGATGTGGCTAAGCAGAGGAGACCTGGGTTCCAGGTTGGGGAGTGGCTGTCCCTAAGGCCAAGAGCATGGGCCTTGGTCCAGAACACTGGGTTTGACTGGGTTTCTCTTTTTGTTGCTGCTGCAGATCCCATAGTAGCCCTGCAGCAAGCTGCAATGCAAAGATGACCTGGGTCTTAGTCGGAGAACCATCCCGGGCAGTCACGTCCCTTCTTTGAGCCTTGTATTCCCATCTGTAAAATGAAATGGTAGAATCCAGGGGCTCTTTCAGCCTTAGATGGTTCCTCTGGGAGACCCACAGGAAGTTCCAAGGTGACACCTTCCCACCCAGACAGTAGAATCCAAGGCTGGGGTGGGGTGGGCAGCCAAGTCCTGCATTCTTGAGGATTCTCTCTCTTTCTGTACCAGGGTCCTTGGCTGTGTCTGTGGCCGACATGACTGCACCCGTCGTGGGCTCTTCCGGAGGGGTTTATGCTCTTGTCTCTGCACATCTGGCCAATATCGTCATGGTGAGTGCCCTTTTGTTCCCTGTGTGCCCTCCTTGCCTCTCCTCTGTGTCGCCAGCCTGGGCGTGATCTGCTAGAGAGCACCAGACCTCCCACCCAATCCACCCCTGTAGCCAGTGTCAGGTGGATTCCTCCCTGTCGTGGCTTGGAATAGGCCCATCTCTCTACTCCAGGTCTTCCCCATTTGGTGACTCTAAAAAGTGTTAAAACATGGCAATGAGTATGTATGATCATTGGAATTCCCTGTTTGTCAGAGCTGCTCAAAGTAAAAGGACCTCAGAGATTATCTTGCCAGAATTCCCCAATACAGAAAGAGGCTCTGAGATGTTGAGGGATTTGTCAAGTTTCACAGTCAAGTTCTTTGCAAAATTCGGACCTGTGAAGGAACACCTCCTGACAAACATCGCCGTGTTAGTCCTCTGTGCTGACCCTGCCGATGACAGGACCCTATGGTGTCCCCTTGCTGTCCTTTGCCTGTTCCTGAAGGGCAACATGGTGTGATCCAGGCAGCCAAGATCTGACTCCCAGCCACTTTTGAAAGGCTGACCAGAAGCAAGTTCCTTAACTGCTGTGTGCCCTGTTTCTATACGTGGGGAAATGGAATAATAGGCAATAAATGAGACAAAGTCTAAGCACCTGCAGGGCAAGCTCAAGGTCGCATTTGGTCCCTGATACTGCATGCTGTGCCAGCCACATATCCCCCGGGTGCACCATGCCAACCCTGCAACTGGGCATGGTAAGCACATGCCTGTAATCCCAGAACTGGGGAGGCTGAGACAGGAGGATCACTGAGTCCTAACTGAATAGCAAGACCCTGTATCAAAATAATAATAGTAGTAGTAGTAGTAGTAGTAATAATAATAATAATAATAATAATAATAATAATAATAGAGACAAAGTGAAAATAACCACTTAATTCCCTAGTCATGGAAAAGGCCAAGATGAGCTCAGACTAGACAGAACAACCCAGCAAGAAATTGGGATGAATCTGATTCAGCAGAGGATGTCAAAGCCCCTGTTTTGGAGGAAGTCTGGCTTTAGAGGCTTCTTCTTCCACCCCACCAGCATGTGAGCCAATAGGCTTTATGTGTCTGCTTTCCCCATGCCTGGCATGGGGCTGGGCTCATGCTAGATGTGCGCACCATGGAGTGAGGGAAGGGAGAGAGGGAGTGAGGAAACAGGAAAGAGGGCAGGCAGGCAGGAAGGCAGGCAGGCAGGAAGGAAAGACCAATGTCCAAAAATGCTAGGGCTGGGCTGGCCAGATAGCTCAGTGGATTAAGCACCTGCTTAGGCAGATGCAGGGGACCAGAGTTCAATCCTCAGTGTGCCATGCTGACCCCACCTCAGGGTGCACTGAGATGGCAATTGAGACTGGGCGTGGTGGCACACACCTGTAATCCCAGCGCTTGGGAGGCTGAAAACAGAAGGATCACTAGGAGTCCGATCTGTGTAGTGAGACCCTGTTGACCCGGTACTAAATACATTAAAAAGAAAAGTCAGAGCATTGCCTTGGGGGCTCCTGCACCCCACACTTTCCTCCACCACTGTCCTTTCCTACACACGGGGCAGCTGTGTAAATGCTCAACTCCATCAGTTTTGGGAGTTCCTGCAATGTCCTGTGTTTTCTTCTTGCTTCAGCCCATTCTCATGTGTCCCATCTCCAACACCACCCCTCTTCTTTTCCCATTTTCTGCTTTGCAAATTGTTAGAGAACCTAGGAGAGAAGGAAGGAAAGACAGACAGACGGACACTGAGTGGTCCTGCTTGCTCCTGGCCTGAATCCAGTGAGCTGTTGGAGACAGACTGCAGGTTCTGGGAAGCATGTGTGACAGTGGGAGTCAAGCGTGTATTCATGCAGTGTTTCACACACACACACACACACACACACACACACACACACACACACACAGCAAAACCCGAGAACACGGGGCTGCCTCACATGGCCCTTTTAAATGGGTCATTCTGTATCAGTGCCATATCTTTCCCCAGACACAGCTTCTCTGAATTCTGCCTCCTCCACTCCCCCGCCCCCTGCCCCAATTCCTCTCCGTGGGGCTGGCGGTACTGCTGACCTCCTCCCTCTACCCCCACCAGAGTGTGGATGTGGCTGTGGGTTGGGGAGGTGGGCAGGTACAACTGAAGATGAAATAAGTCAGAGTTCATAATCATGCCTTGCCCTGCTCATGGTAATCAGCCCCAGTGTCCCTGTGGACTCCGTGTTGGGAACAGCCAACCCCAGGACCACTGGCAGGGCCTGTGTCTGGGGAGGTGTGGAGGCTATTTGGTTCCAGTTTATACTGCTTTGTAGCAAGGGGCTGCGAGGATGAAGAGCCTCAGCTGCAAGCAGCTTTCCTGGTCAGCTGGAAGCTTTGCCCTTCCCAGAGCATGACATGGCTATAGCTTTCACTAGACAGTGGTACTGTGCTTACTGGTGGTGAAGGAAGCCTTACTTTTCTCTTGTTTTTTATGATTTTATTTCTTCTATTTTGGGGGATTTTGGGGAGGGCTATAGAGTCTCACTATGCAGCTTGGACTTGTAGTGATCCTCCTGTCTCAGCCTCCCCCGCGCTGGGATTACAGGAGTGCACCACCACACCTGGTTTTGGTGGCTGGCATGGGTCACCTGGGGTTCTGGGGCCAGCACAGCATGCATTACCAGGGATCAAACCCAGGTCCTTGCATTTGGCAGGAAGGCGCTTAGACCGCCAAGCTCTCTCTCCTGCCCTATTATTATTATTACTATTACTATTACTATTATTATTTTCATTTTTATTTTTGAGGCAGGGCTTCATTGTGTAATTCAGGCTGGCTTTGAATTCACTGTGTAGACCAGGCTGGCCTTTAACTCCAGGCTATCCTCCTGCCTCAGCCTCCTGAGTGCTGGGACTACAGGCATGCTCCACTACGCCAGGCTGAAAACCTAGCTTTAAGTAGCAGAGTCGCCTCAGCCACTGGCATGCCAGCATTCACAAGTGGATGCCCTTCTCCTCAAGGTGACAAAATGAAGACATGAAAAGGACTTGAAAATGCTTTCCAGGGTGACATGGTGGTGCATACCTGTTATGCCAGCTACTTAGAAGTCCCCCTGCCTCAGCCTCCCAGAGTGCTGGGATTATACACATGAGCCAGCACACATGACTCCATTTTAAAATATAGGAGATATTTGCTTACATTTGGTCTCAGTATTAGACATTTTCCTAAAATATTTAAGATCTGCAAATTAGACTACATTGTCCAAGCACAAGGAAAGACAGTTGTCTGAAAAGGTACAGAAGATCTCTCTTACAAGGCTGAAACGAAAACCTTTCGTAGGCCGGATAAGCACTCCCTGATTTAGCCATGGTGTGCTTTCATGTTTCCTGCATTGGGCTTTCTTGCTCAGTTGACAAACAGTTTCTACCAGTAATATGGAAAGCTGTGTTGGAGTGGAAACTGCCTGGGTTTCCACCTGCTCCCCACCACTGCCCCTGAAGACAGAGCTCCGAGACTCCACAAAGGCTGGATCAGCTCTCCCGCCACCGAGATGAAGCCCCAGCCTGGCCCCTGAGTGCCTAGCGGGTTGGGTGACCAGGCTGCCTGGGTGGCTTGTTTGCTGAGGCTGAGTTACTATCTCACCCTGTGAGGCTCTGGGAGAGAAAGAAATTAAAGGGTCTGCGCAAGGTTCCTGTGGTTCGTGTTGCCCTCGGGGCCTGCAGACTTTTCCACATTTATAGCAGCAGTAGCGGTGCTGGCTGAGTGTGAGATTTTTTTCCTTCTCTCCTGGTGTTTCACTATACTCATTTTATTGGAGGGAATAATGGGCCGGGAAAATAAGGCAGCTGGGGAGAAGGGGGGTGTTTTAGTTTAACTCCTCAGTTCCTAGAAGAAGAGTTCTTAGCTGGATTTCGCTCAGCCTTGGGGGACACCAGGCAGATGGACTATGACCCTGTGTCTGGATTGTGCAGCGCCGCGCTGGAACCTTGTCGGCTTGCCGTTAACCCACCGTGACCTTGAACTAGCCCTCCGGATCCTTGTTTTTGCTTCCCTAAAGGCCTGGGCAGAGGTGAGACTGAGCAGTTTTCGGACTCCAGCAACAGGGATCCAAGCAGGAATTGCCAGAGAGAGGCTGGGGCACGACAGGTGCTCCCTGGCTCTTTCCAAAGTCATTCGAAACCCAGATTTTTCAAGCTACTCTGGAGGGCAGAGGCTGTTATCTTTGCCTTAGGTCTAGACATTCGTAAGATACCCACCATATGGCAGAGATGAGTGCTTCATGCCTTAATTCATCCTCACAACCACCTGATAGGGTAGTAGCGCCACCTGAAATGCACCATCGAGAACGTAAGAGCAAAGGGATTTCTGAGCCACCCTATTGATGGCTGTGCCAGACCAAGAATATGGATAGTGCTTTTCAAGATTGATCCAAGATCAGGCTCATACCTGTAATCCCACGTGCTCAGGAAGCTGAGGTAGAAAGATTGCAAGTTTAGGACCAACTTGGGCCACTTAGACCCTGTCTCAAAGTTAAAAGGGATGAGAGTGTAGCTCAGTGCTTCCCGGAGTTCAATCATCAGGAAAACACACACACACACACACACACACACACACACACAGGTCCAAAATTGGGCCCAGCAGGGACATGGAGGCAGAGCACCTTAGCTGAGTGAGAGTGGAAGAGTGCTTTATTTTTTATTTTATTTTTTATATATTTAGTACAGGGTCTACAGGGTCTCACTACATAGATCAGACTCATAGTGACCCTCCTGTTTTTAGTCTCCCAAGCTCTGGAATTACAGGTGTGTGCCACCACGCCCAGTCTCAGTCATCTCAGTGTGCCCTGCGGGTGGGGCTGGCATGCAAGCTGGGGATCAAACCCCAGGTCCCTGTGTAAGCCAAAGCAGGCGCTTTAATCTGCTGAGCTATCTGGCTGGCCCTTATCGTATTTTATTTTGTCCGATATCACTTAGGACACAATGAAAGAGACACTGTCTTCAGATACTTGGAGAGTTAATTTTGTTAAGTGTGCATATCATAAAATGTAGCTTTCTTTGAGACAGAGTTCCTATGTAGTTCAAGCTGGCCTTGAACTCGCTGTGCGGCTCAGGCTGGCCTTGAACTAGTGGTGTCCTCCTATCTCAGCTGCGATTACAGGTGTGCACCTGGTGAGAATGTACCATGCTAACCATTTCAGATGTACAGTTGAAAAGCAGTAAATACTGCACATTACTGTGCAGCCACTACCATCCTGTCGCCAGAGCTTTTCCATCTTCCCAAAGTAAAGCTTTGTATTCATGAAACACCAACGTTTCCTATCCTCCTCCCAGCCCCCAGCCCAACAACCTACCACTTCCCCTTGCCAAGAGTCTTGCTACCCTTGGTACCTCATCTAAGTGGAATCATATATTATCTTTTGTGATGGGCTTATTTCACTTAGCGTAACATGTCAAAGTTCATCCATGCTGTAATGTGTCAGGATGCTCTTTTCAATTTTCTAAAAAAATTTTGTTAGGCCACGTTTGCAGTATGTAATGATTACATTTATTGTGGGGAGTTGGTGGATATATATACAACATCTTAATGCCTTTTAGTTTTCCTTCTTACCTGATCCCTCCATCTTTTGGCAGAATGCCTGTTTTTGGTTGAGACAGGGTTGCCGATATGCAGCTCAGGCTGTGTTTGAACTCCGTTTGTAGCCCTGGCTGGCCCTGAACTCAGAGTGATCTAGGCCTTAGCTTTCTGAGTGCTGGATTACAGGTATACATGCCTGTCCATGCATAGATACTTTTGACGATTGTGCATACTGCTGCTATAAGCATGGGTTTCACTTGCTTTGTTTTGTTTTGTGGTGCTGGTGATTAAGCCCAGTTCCTTTGCACTAAGCTATATTCCCATCTTGTTTGTTTAAAGTCAGAGTCATGAAGTTGCTGAGTTCCTCAGGCTGGGCTCGAACTTTTTAATCTTTTTGCCTCAGCCTCTTAAAGTAATGGGATTAGAGGCATGTACCACCCACAAATCCACCTGAGTCTCAATTTTAAGTGAGAATTAACACTAATGTACCTGGTCTTAACTCCTTAGAAGCTGAGGCTGAAAGATCATTGGACCCACAAGTTATAGACCAGCCTGGACAACATAATGAGAATTAATCTGAAAGAGTGGAAGAGAGAGAAGAGGGAGGGGAGGGGAGAAAGAATTAGAGAAGAAAGAGACCCAAGGGTAGACCTCACAGGGAGAGATAGGCTGAAAAAATAGCAGGAAAACCTTTTGAATAGCTGAGCCCTTTCCAGGGTCTCCCAGAGGTAGGGACTCTCCCACAGAGAACAGAGGGTGGTCTGCATGCCACTTAGCAGCAGGCATCTCCCATGAGAAGAACCCATGTTTCCCAGCTTCCTCTAGCTGGAAATGGGTGGTCAGATCCAGTGGAGAAACCAACTCCCACTTCATTCCCTGTGTCTTGGCAAGGTCCTTCTGTGGGCAGACAGCAGAAGGGACAGCACTTTCCTGCCATCTGCTTCTCAGAACAGGCTGTGTCAGCGAGCAGAAATCAGACCTTGTACCTCCAGAGGGCCATGTGTTGCCCACCTCGCCTTCAGGGAAGAAGGGCTTGTTGGTCAGTGAGGAATGATGGGGAAGAGACAGGCAATGGGCAAGAGGCCAACTACCATGAGGATTTCTCCCTTTCTGGCAGCTTCCCCAGGTTCTGCTTGCTCCACTGATGATTTCATATTTGGGGCCGCTGTAAAGTTTAATGGAAGTTGCTGCAACCTCCAAGTAGTATGAGACTTACCCCGGAGTGGGGCCTGGGCAGCCATTGAGGACAGATTGAGTAGAGAGTGGGAACAGAAGTCCTCTGGCTCTGCCCACTTACCTCCTTCCCCAGAGCTGGTGTGTTCCAGGGAGACCCCAAGCTGGTGTCTGAGAGTGGGCGCATGCGCAGCTTTGCTAAGGGAATAGGCCTTTGAATGCACCGCAGGAGTGCGCCTCAAAGGAGCCCTGTGGTGAGGTCTTTTGTAAAGTGAAAAATCCTTTTGTAAAGTGAATAATTGTACCCTGTCTATCTGCTTTGGAGGTTCAGAGTTTTGAAAGATTCTCAGGGGACAGAGGGATTTGTTTGAAGGCCATCTGGCCCACCCCCTTCCTGATGCCTGATCCTCCTCTAGAGCATTCTCTGAGCACTGTGAAGTCCCTGTCTGGAACCGCAGTGGCAGGAAACTCACGACCAAATCCCCTCCTTCACTGCCTCTGCCACCGTGGAGCATTCCCTTTTTGGACAGTTCTGCTTATGAGAAATGGAGCTTTTAAAAACCACTCCGAAGTTTTTAATCCATGGAGTCTTCAGCTTGCAGTTTGCACTGCATGTGCCCTTTCCTGGTGTTGACTTGACACTAACAGTGAACTCGAGCCCTTGCCTTTGGGCTGGCAGATCCAGGTTTCCACATTCCACCCGCACTGGCAGGCTGTTGAGATCTTTTATCATCCTGATGGTTCTGCTTTGACATTGCAGGTGTGCAGCCCAGCCTCCTTTGTCAACCGTGGGACGCAGCACCTGAGGCCACGCTCCTAGTGCTACCTTGGGCATGCTGGGGTGGGGGTGGTGCCTCATCTCCTGAGATCTAGATTCTCTGCTTATGGCAGTGGAGCTCAAGGGTTTTTTACAACAGGAATAAATTCACCGTTGTCCCAAATCTCCAAGTCCTGTGGTGTGGTCTGTAACTGAGCCCCACTCTGGCCTGATCTCCCACTAAGAGAACTCCCTCCTTTTTCTCTAGAACTGGTCCGGCATGAAGTGTCAGTTCAAGATGCTGCGGATGGCTGTGGCCTTGATCTGTAGTAAGTACTGATGGACCTGTGGGGAAGGAAGCTAGCTGGTACCATGTCCCAGGGTACAGAGATGACCCTGTCCTTGCCTTTCAGGAGCTTATAGTCAAGGGGGAAAAAAAGACAAAACATCAACATGCAACAAGGTAGTGGTCTTGTAAGAAAGCCTGCTCCCTACACTGCTTTTTTATTTTTTTTTGGGGGGGGTACTGGGAATCAAACTCAAGACCTTGCGCTTGCCATGCAGGCACGGTGCCACTGAGCTATATCCCTGCAAACCAAAAAGCACTTAGAAAAAGAGAAAAAGAAAGGGAAGCACTCAGATCAAGAAAAATAACTTGTTGGCCTTGTGAGTCACAAAGTTGTTCCTCTGAGATCCTCTGCTGAAAGTCAGAGACCCTGCTCCTCAGATTATAGGGATATTGTATACATGTTCACACACGTGCACACACACATGCACACACAGACACAAGCATGTTAAAACTTGCAGTTTTGGCAGGTGCAAAAATGTAATCATCCATGAACCCTTACAAAAAGGATGTGGTGGGTCCCATGGTTGGGAGCGGTCAGCTCTGTCTGCAGAGGTCATTTGAGAGTTAAATATGAACAGGTGTTTGGCAGGAGGGCAGAGTGTAGGAGGGCACATTGGGCAAAGGGACAGCAAGATAGAAGGCCTAGGTGGGTGAAGGGTCAAAAACAGCAAGCTGGGAGCAAAACTGACTAATGAGGCTTATGGCTGTGAGATCAGAGAAGTCGGATCACAATGGCTTTAAAGGCAAAGGAGAAAGACGTCCTTCTTCCTGAATGCGCTATGAGGTCACTGAGGGCTTTCACCGCAGCAGTTACTGACAGGTGGTGCAGGTAACCAGTCGGGCTGCAGTGTAGGGAATGGGCCGGGTGGGGGATGAGACAGAGCCCACAGGGCTATTGTGAGGGGAACAGCATGGAGCCCGGGAGCGCAGTGGAGGTGGGACGAGAGGAACGCATTCTTTCCTCCAGGCCTCCAGACTTGCCCATGATGAGTAGATCATTTAATTCAATTCAGAGAATTAAGTTCTTTCTTTAATGGTAGCTAGCTGAGAGGTGATAAAATCAGCATTCAGAGCCAGTGTGTGCATTTCTAATGCCCAACACTGGAGCCAAGCTGGACAGGGAGCACATGGCTTACCCAGCCTGGGTCAGCTATCTGCTGTAAGAGGAGGACGAGCTTAAGTTGATCTGGACTGTGAGTTTCCACTAATTCTTTTCCTCTTATCCTATGATGACTTTGAGGACATCAGGACAGCCCCTGACCCAGGGATGGGCCCTCTGATCTCAGTTTCCTGTATAGAATTAGAGGATCTCTCATCTTGATATAGGAAGAAAAAAATGTAACTCCTAACCTGCTAGATGTCAGGTATGCTGAGCTCGTGTTCCCTGAGGTCGAAGAATGAATTCTGCTGGATGTGGTGGTGTGCAACTGTAATCCCAGCACTCAGAGAGGCTGAGTCAGGAGGATTATTGCTACTTCAAGACCAGCCTGGGGGCTACAAAGGTAGTGCAAGGCCAGTCTGAACTGCACAGTGAGACCCTATCTGAAAAGGACAAAAGGAGAAGAAATAATGAGTGTGTGAGTGAGTGAATGAATGAATGGATAAATAGATGAATGAATAGATGAATGAATGAATTCTAAAGAACTATAGAGGTTAAGAGTGGGAAAAGTGGGCCAGGAAGATAGCTCAATAGCTCAAGCACCTGCCTGGCAAGCACAAGGTCCTGAGTTCAATTCCTGGTACAAAAAAAAAGGTAGGAAAATTTATTAAGGAATAGGAGTAGCTCTTGTGAGACAAGAGGGATCCAGAGATGAATTGCCAATAAGCCCTCCTCTCTGAGAAACTTTTATACAGCAACATCACGAAGTGGGTACAACCTGGGTCAAAGCTACAATCAACCAATAAAATTACAAGTACAGCCATTTGGCTAATATTGATCTGCTATTAGCAAGGGCATGTGGATGATGTCATTAACCTGGGTGGGGTAATAATCTATAGTCTGAGTCTTGTCCTTCGTCTTAGTGTTAGCCATCTTGGTCTTAATCTTAGTGAATAGAAGACAGAAGATGGCCTAGCCCTAACGAGATAATTGTTTATTTATATGAGAAATCTCAAAACAGTGGTAAAGATAATCTCAAGCTTCTGTGTGTTCCCTGTATGTATGTACATCTGTCCCTTGTGACTAAGCTTCAGGTGTGCCTCCGGCCACAGTGGTAGCGTGCTGTCCTCTGCACTGACTCCCTCGAGGGGGTAGCCCTGTCTGACTGCCTATAATATTCTACCTAACTGAGTGGTCTATAATAATCTCAGAGACGACTTTCCAGCCTTAAAACCATGAACTCAGAGCCAAGGCAGCAGGGGTAAGAGTTGAGAGTAGGGGTGGGCATAGCCCCTGTGTGGACTCAGATTCTGCCCTTTGTCTGCTTTTGAGGAAGCAAAGAGAAGCGGCAGTTTCACTGTTCATAAAAGCCCAATGCTAGGCATCGTGAAAACTGAAATGCTGTTGGAGTTGGGAACCACTGTCTTTCAAACCTTCATTGACCTTAGGAACTGCTAAATAAATACACAGAGGCCAAAAGTGTGTTGGGGCCGGGCAGGCTGGGGAGAGCTGAGCATCGATCCCTGGCTGCTCCTTTCCCGCCCTCTGTCGGCTGTCCTTGGAGTTGCAGGGCCCAGTGCAGAGGGCTGGGCAGTCCGGAGGGGAAAGAAGGTCCCTGAGGGTTCTGGCATCCTTGGGGTGCTTAGAGTGGAGAGAGATGCACTGGTGGGTTCATAGTTACCAACCAAGCTGGGTATGTGCCTGCCTAACAAGCACAAGGTCCTGAGTTTAATTCCTAGTACCAAAAATAAATAAATAAATTAAATTAAATAGTTACCAAACTAGTATAGTATGCCCTTGAAAGGACTTTTGTTTCATCTGTCAGCTTTACCTTGGTTTCCTCGTTCATAGAATGGGGATAAGAATATGTCCCCTCAGCTGGGTGTGGTGGTGTGTACCTGTAATCCCAGAACTTGGGAGACAGAGCCAGGAGGATTATCACAGGTTCAAGGCCAGCTTGGGCTACATATCGAGTTTCAAGCCAGCCTGGGCTATATAGGAGACCTTGTCCCCCATTCCCCAAAGAAAGTTCCTTTGGTATTGCTTTGGTATTAAGAAATAAGATGGCACGGCATCAGTACCCATCCCTCTAGGAGACTGCTTCTCTGGTAGAGCATCCCTGAATTCAAACCTCAGCCCCACTGAGGAGGTTACGGGGAGACTCCATTTCCATTTGACTGACCAGCTCAAAAAGTTTGTCAAGGCCGGGGAGATGGCTCAGTAGGATATGTGCTTGACTGGCAAATGCAAGGATCTGAGTTCAATCCCCAGTTCCGCAAAAAAAAAATAAAAAAGTGTGTGAAAGGAGGGATTAAAAAGCAGGTGTGGCCTCTTCCAACTGGTGGAGAGAAAATTTCCAGAAGCTTGTTGGGGTGAAGGTAGAGTTGGGATCATTTATTTCCGTTCCTTCTTTGCTCTCGTCCCCCCCTCCCCATCTCCTCCTTTCAACCGCATCTATACTGGTTTTGAAGCAAGACAGGAAAACACTGTGGACGGTGAAGTTTGCGGCGGCACACTGAAGGTGTTAACGATGTTCCACCAGTGCAGCCTAGTACACTGAAGCTGAGGTTGTGTCCCAGTAGACACGCAAGGAAACGGAGTCCCCAGGGCTGAGCAAGACCCCAGAGGTGGCTGTGCCAGGACTGGGCTTTCTCATGGCCTTCTGGCGAGACCCCGCCAGAAGCAGGGCCTGCTTGACTCTGCAAAGAATCCCCCTCCTTGTGCCTGGCATTCATCTGACGTCCCTTATTTTTTCCTTATAGAAGTGTCCTTTAATGAAATTGCTTTCAGGCTGTAATTGTTTGCTGGTTCATTGCCAGACCCTGCAAGTGCTTGGAGAAGTCTTATCAGCCTCTTTGATCACTGTGTCATCGCAGTGCATGGATGGCACTTGGCCCTGTGACAGCAAGTGAATTAATAGGTGGCTGCAGTGCCTCTGCCAGGGTCCTACTGTGACTTCTCTGCACTTCGTCCCTTGCAGTGAGCATGGAGTTCGGGCGGGCCGTGTGGCTGCGCTTCCACCCATCTGCTTACCCGCCATGTCCTCACCCCAGCTTCGTGGCACACCTGGGTGGCGTGGCTGTGGGCATCACCCTGGGCGTGGTGGTCCTGAGGAACTACGAGCAGAGGCTGCAGGACCAGTCGCTGTGGTGGATCTTTGTGGCCATGTACACCATCTTCGTGCTGTTCGCTGTCTTCTGGAACATCTTTGCTTATACCCTTCTGGACTTGAAGCTGCCTCCACCCCCCTAAGGGGCTGAAGGTCAAGGCGAGGAGGGGAGGAAGAAGCAGTGTCCAGAGGGGGCACCTGCATCTTTTTCTCATCATCAGCTTGATGAGGCCAGAGAGGAGAGGCTGGAGACTCTGGGCTGCTGTGATAGTGGGGTTCAGATTTGGACAAACAACAGAGGCTTTTTCTGAAAGGCACGAGTGGGGGAGTTGGATGTGACTTTTCTAGGCTGCTCAGATGAGATCAGGTCAGTCTGAAGGCTGAGAGGGTGAAAGTAGCCATCCCCAAGGGCTGGGCTTGTTCCACGGGGTTCCCTGGGCTCCCCTCTCCCTGCCACAGACTGAGCAGCAGCTTCTTCCTCATCCTCCACCTGGAGCCCTTAACAGACATATAAGGAAGGTGTGCAGACACCACAGCCAGGCAGGCCTTCCCTAGCACAGGGACAGTGGCAGGCCAGGCGCTGTTCTTGCCATAGCTTGGGACTGAGGTTCTGGGATGGGGGAGTTCAGGGAGACTTCCTAGCCCTGCCAGTGAGGCCCATGCTGAGAAGAACAGGGAGATGCCATAGACTCCAGGCCCCTGGCCCTTCTCTTGCCATAAGGGACCAGTGACAGGAATCTAAGTTGAGAGAAAAAACTTCATCCTGTTTCCACCCTGGGAAAGGTACCTACCAACCTTGGACTTTTCCCTCCTTTTCATCCAGAATGCTGATGTCTTAATACCAATACCCCAGCCGCCTCCATGCCCTGCCTTATGCCTGTCTTTTAGGAATGAACAAGGTGGTGGTGGTGGTGGTGGTGGTGGTGTGTGTGTGTGTGTGTGTGTGTGTGTAGGACAATGTGAAGCATGTGGAGCCTGTAGAGGAGGTATGTGGGTAGTGGGGCGTCAGTGCAAAAGAAGACGCAAGGAAAGGAAGACACAGTACGCTGTGGCATGATTGCTGAGCATCCTTGGTTTGACCAAAGTTCGCCCCCTTTATTCCCCTCACTTTCCCTTCTGGATGCCTTCCCAAGCATCACTGGTGAGCAGGAAAGTGGTCCATACTAGAAGGAGACCCTGGGCCCCAGGAGGGTGCCTGCGATGCTGAAAGGAAACTTGCAGCTACATTTTGCTTCTATTTTTTTTTTTTTTTTTCTTGAGATGCCTTTCCTTTCCAAATCTATCCTCTTTTGCCTGGATAGAAGAAACCTTTGTGGGGGGTGGAGCGAGCAGAAGAAACCTCCTGGAGGTCTTCTGGGATGGAAGAGAAGCTGGGGCAGGATTACTGAAGCCATGTATCCATTGAGTTGGTACGGTGGCTGGAAGAGATAGCAAAGGGAATGCTAGTTTAGGTAGAAAGCTTTGCTCCTGAGGAGACTCTTCCGGGCTTAGCCGAATGTCAAAGTGAGGATAGCCTGTAAAGAGACTCAGATGCTTAGGGCTATGAGGGAGCTTGGAGGTTTTTAAGGTTCCACCCCCACTTCTCAGCATAAGAATGAGATTGAGAGAATGACCTCCCTCCAGCTACATCCCAGCAATGCCAGGTGCCAGGACAGGAGTCTGCCTCTGCCCCTCCAAGGGATGGCACCACTCAGAATTGTACCAGCAGGAGGTGCCTGACTTTTGACAAAACACCAATCCCTTTATACTGTGTTTAGAACTCTCTACCCCTGACCATACAGAAGGACAAAGAGCCTCAGGCCTAGGAGGCAGAGGGGTGGAATCATGTCGGGGCAAGTGTGCAAACTGCCTTGCCCCAGCCTTGTGCCCAACAAAGCCCTTATGTGTGGAGAGGCCGACAATCAGCTGCACCAAGTGTTTGGGGGTTTGGGGTCACTGCGGCAGTGATTACATGGACGTGGGCTAAGTCTCTCGACTGAGGAGTACAGCCAGTCACTGCCAAGGCCTTGCTCACCTTTGCCCAACATTCACTAGATAGTTTCGTTCCCCACACGTGGCTCCTAAGACTCTGTTGTGCTTGTGTCAGTGCTGTGATGAAGCCTGTCAGCCTGAGGCAGTGCAGCCCACAGCTCTGCTGAGTTGTGTCAGCCTGAAGCCTCGAATCTGTGCTGTTCTCTGCCCTACTGGTGATGTGTAGGTGGGAATGGTGATACGTAGAGGACTCTTAAGAGTCAGGAAGGGAGACTGAGAAGACCTGGGTGTATTGAGAGGGAACAGGACTTTGTGGCCTCTGAACTGTGGCATCCACCACCAGAAGAACAGAAGCATCTGGAAAGGGGTGAGAAGGCAATGGAAGATTCTAGAAAGCCCTCAGAGAAACACCAGTTGCTTCAAGCCTTCGGATGAAAGCTTGTTACTGGAAAGACCACCGAAGGCAGGATTCTACCTCCCACCCTGTTAAGTCTGTCCTCTGAAGTTTGTGACGGAGAGAATCTCACCCACGCCGCAGGCCACCAGCCCCAAGCTGCTGTCAGCACACCCTCCTCCACCACCTTCTCTCAGCCATCGCTCCTGAGTGGGGACACTGAGTAGGGACACTAGGATCGTTTCACAGGACCCAGAAAGGTTTACTTTTTGGCATCTGGCCTTGTTAGCAGGTCCCCCTTGTTCCTGATTCAGCCCACCCTACCAGCAGCACCTGCCCACCCGGCCTCCAGCTTCCTGCCTTCCCTACCTCCTCCCTCTCCAATGTGCCTGCCCCCCAGGAGGCTGGGAAGCAGAGGACAGCAGCGGAGTCCCTCTTCAGGCTGGTGGAGGTAGGTCAGCCTTGCAAGACACGGAAATTCAAGACAAATTGAAAGCCCGGGGATTCCCCACACCAGCCATAGACTCATTTGCTTGTTAAACAGGAGAGGAATTGCAGACACTGAGCAAAGGAAAACAGGCCTTCAAAGGAGAAATTTTGTTTTAATGACACCATTCATCATTCATTTTTTTAATTAGGGAAAGCTCCCTAATGAGGCTCTTTCGGCAGCTAATGGGACTTTCAATTTCCCTGAGAGCCATTCTTGCCCAGAGCATTAAGGGAAGGATTGCCTACCAGCTCTTTCTCCAGCGTCCAATTCACTTTGCAGGTAATGCAGACTGCCGCGCCGAGGCAGCCCTTTCCGGCATCCTTCCTGTTGTGCCCAGGGCTGGCCGCAAAGCAGCGATTCTCCTCTGCCTTAAACCTGGCGCCCAACAATGAACTGCCTCTCCAAGAACTTGCATAAGCGGGTGGGAGGGTGGGGAAGAACAGAAGGAAGAAAACACAAGCCACAAGGTTGGTTCCTAAATATTTTTGTATTGTGTACATTCTGTATATTTTTGTTGTAACATATTATTTGAGCACAGATTCCATTAAAGATTTTTTTTTTTTTT